GGAAGTAGATTGCCCAGCCTTCCTTCCGAGGAGTGGCTGGTGGGTTTGAACCGCCAGCCTTCTGGTTAGCAGTCAAGTGCCTTAGGCACTACGCTACCAGAGCTCCTAGCTCTCTGAATTAGGGCACAGTAATAGATACTTTGGAAGCTGTGGTGCAATGGATTAATTTTATATGGCCTTTCTAGGCATGGTCTTGTAACTCCCACAAAATTATATGGGTGGGATTATACAATTAATGTGCTTGTGGCCCACCAAGGGGACTGGACAGCTTGTTCATAATGTAAATAAAGTTCATGGCCTCTTTTTGGGGGAGTTGTTGTTTTAAGTGCCATTGAGTCAGTTCTGGCCTCACAGTGACCCTATGCACAACAGAACGAAACATTGCCCAGTCCTGTACCATTCTCATAGTTGTTGTTATGCTTGTACCCATTGTTGTAGCCACTGTGTCAATCCATCTTGTTTAGGGTCTTCCCTTTTTTTGTTAACCTCCTTTGCCCAACATGACATCTCTCTCCAGAAACTGGTCCCTTCTGACAACATGACCAAGGTATGAGAGACGAAGTCTGGACATTCTCACTTCTAAATAGCATTCTGGCTGTACTTCTTCCAAGACAGATTTGTTCATTTTCCTAGCAGTCCATGGCACATTCAATATTCTTCACCAACACCAAAAGTCAAATGTACCGATTCTTCTGTGGTCTTCCTTTTTCATTTGTTCCTCTCTCACATGCATATGAGGTTATTGAAGATGCCATGGCTTGGGTGAGGCGCACCTTAGTCTACAAAGTGGCATCTTTCTCTTAGACATTTTTAAGAGGTCTATTGCAACAGATTTGCCCAATGCAACACATCATTTGATTTCTTAACTGCTGCTTCCAAGTTGTTTGTGCATCCAAGTAAAATAAAATCCTTGACAATTCCAGTCTTTTCTCCATTTATCATTATGTTACTTATTGCTCTAGTTGTGAGGATTTTTGTTTTATTTTGAGGTGTTATCTATAGTGAAGGCTGTAGGTTTTTTTAATTTTCATCAGTAAGTACTTCAAGTCTTCACTTTCAGCAAGCAAGGTTGTGTCATTTACATATCTCAGGCTATTAATGAGTCTTCCTCCGATTCTGATGCCATGTTCTTCTTCATATAGTACAGCTTCTTGGATTAGTTGCTTAGCATACAGATGGAATAAGTATGGTGAAAGGATACAACTCTGACACATACCTTTCCTGATTTTAAACCATGCAGTATTCCTTCATTCTGTTCAAGTAACTGCCTCTTTGCTATATACAGGTTTCTCATTAACACAAGTATTCTGGAATTCCCATTCTTTTCAATGTTATCCATATTTGTTATGATCCACACAGTCAAATGCCTCTGCATAATCAATAAAACACAGATAAACATCTTTCAGCCAAGATCCATTTGACATCAGCAATGATATCCCCGTTCCATATCCTCTTCTGAATCCAGCTTGCATTTCTGGCAGTTCCTTGTCAGTGTACCACTGCAACCATTGTGCAGATGGGACCATACAAATAAGGGGTGAGGAACTCTAATGAGGGGATCAGTCAATTTTGCCATCCCACTAAGCTTAAAATGAGCCATCCAGAGGTAGAAAGAGGGGATTTCACTATCACCAAGGGACATAAGTGGAATGTGTCCTCTGGACCTGGGGTCCCTCTGCTGAGAACTTCCCAGACCCATAAGACAAAGAGAGAGCTGTGACACTGGCGATGGTGAGATGTATGCAGCAGCAGACAGACAGCTGCACCAGGGGCAGCAGAACCAGAAGTTTGTCAGGAGATGGTGTGGTGGGCTTCCTGGCCCACAGAATAAGGGAGCTGAGCACCTTTGCACAGGAGGCTTCCTAGCAGAGTAAGGTGCCTCCAGGTACTTGGCAGAGCTAGGCTCATCATGGCAGGAAAGAGAGATTCAAGCACCTTTGGGTAGGAGGCTTCCTGGTGAAGTGGTGTGCCTTCAGGCATTTGTCAACAGAGCTAAAGAGTTTTGTAACAACTGCCTGAGCAAGGCAGAGGCCTGAGCCAGCCCAAGAACCCTGAGGAGCCAAGGACAAGAGCTCAAGGGCCAGGGAAAGGCCTGCTGGTGGGCAGAGCTGAGAAGCTTTCCTAACTGAAGAACTGTATCCTGAGTCTTTCCTGATCCTTAATTGCAACCTGTTACTTCACTAATAAAACCCATAATTATGAGTTCTGTATGGCTATTGCAATAAGTTATCAAACATCAGAGAAGTAGAGTGATGTGGGAGGGACAGCTGGTATCAGAACTGGTAAAAAGGTTGATTCGTTTCATACAAATCAGCCTTGGGTTGATGCTGATGGTGACTCTCTCCCTTGTGAAATTAGAAAAGGTCATTGCCTCTGCCATGCTACTTTTGCAGAATTAGATAAAACAAGCTCATATTTGCCCTTGGACAGGTCATTTAACCTTTCTAGTTCTTTTATGTTCTCATCTATAATACAGGGTAGATAATATTATCTACCTCACAGAACTAAAGAGGGATTAAATGAGAATGTAAAAATGATGTACTCAGCACAGAGCTCCTAGTGATTCTTCAATTAACGCTAGACATCTATTTTTTATTTAGCATAATACTCAGGCCCCCTTACAATATTTCACATCATTATAAAGCTTTATGAAGACGACTAATATTCATTTAACAACTATTTAATGAATGCTTTCTATTTTCTGGGAGCTCTGGTGACGTAGTGCCTGAGGCATTTATTTGACTGCTCACTAGAAGGCTGGTGGTTGAAACCCACCAGCCATCCCTCAGAAGGAAGGTTGGGCAATCTACTTCTGTAGTGATACCACCTCGGAAACCCAAAGAGGGGGTCGCTATGAGTGGGATCAGACTCAATGGCAGTGAGATTTTTTTTTTTTGGTTTTCTATTTTCCAGACAGTGTGTTCACCACAGGAGTTAAAATAAAGATTTAGTTCCTGCCTTTAACAACCACTAAAAATCTAGGTGGTTTTTTTTTTTTTTTTCTTTTTCTTTTTTTTTTTACAAAGGCTATTACTTTAAATAAAGATTTAAAATAGGTATGGGTTAGGATAGTAATAAAGTAATCTTTTGCTATAATAAGATCTCTATATTTCAACATTTCTAAAATCTAATGCTTCTTACAACTGATATGTACATTTAATGCGACAATGCTTCTTGTTTCCCAGAAAAGCCTTTATAACTCAATAATTGAGCATAAAATTGAAGGAATTTAAGAAGTGCTTGTCTAAGCTAGATTTCCTCTAGAAAGTAAGTAGAGCCCAGGACAAGAGCTTGCATATAGATAATGTATTTTGGGAAGTGAACCCTGGGAAGCAGAGTGGGAGACTAGAAAGGGTGAAGAAACAGGGAAGGAGGGGAAAATAACACAAGGATACATTAGCAAGGTGGCTGCACTGGCACCACGGTGAGCCAGTAGGGCTGATCCCACTGGGATTCCCCAGGACTATGCATAGAACTTGGAGCTCTGGCAGCATAGTGCCTAAGGCACTTGACTGCTAACCAGAAGGCTGGCGGTTCAAACCCACCAGCCACTCCTTGGAAGGACGATGGGGCAATCTACTTCTGTAGTGATACTGCCTCTGAAACTTAAGGCAATGCTTGAAATATGGCTAGTTTAACAGAGGAAATAAACTTTTAATATAATTTAAATTTAATTCATTTAAATTGTTGTTATTGTTGTTGTTGTTTGCCATCGAGTCGGCCCCGATGTAACTAGTGGCTACCATATATAGCAGCAAAGCTCTAATAAGCTGTGTCAAATCCACCTAAGAGTTAAAAGGTGGGCAAAACATATAACACAAAAGGAGCCCTCCATAAATATTTGTTGAATGAATCAATAATATTTGGTCCAAAAAGAAGTATATAGTTCTTGTTTGGATTAAATTGTGATCCCAAAAATACTTGTCAACTTGGCAGAGGCCACCTTGCTTAGTATTATGCAATTATCTTTCATTTTGTGATCTCATACAATTATCCTATTTGATGTAAATCCTAGCCTTTATGATGTTAATGAGGCAAGATTAGCATCAGTTATGTTAACGAGGCAGTATACAATCCACAGGATTAGGTTGTATTTGTCAATCTCTACTGAGAGATGTAAGGCATTAAACAAAGGGACCTGACTACTAGGAGGAAACAACAGCCAAAAGTGGAGTGAATCCTTTGGACCTGGGTCGCTGTATTAAGAATTAGGTCCAGGGGAAGACTGATGCCAACACAAGGAACACCAGGCCCACAGAGCTGAAAGGAGACAAGGACCTTCTTTCAGAGCCAATAGAAAGAAAAAGTCTTCCCCTAGAACTGGCACTCTGAATTTGTACGTCAGCTGTGAGAGAATAAATTTCTGTTTGTTAAAGCTATCCATTCGTGCTATTTCTGTTATAGCACCACTAGAATAACTAAGACAGTTCTCTTTAAAAGAAAGACTCTATTTAAAATAATCTCATTTAGTTCAAACGGTAAGCAACTCTTCATACAACACAAAAAATAAGCAGTAAAAGGTGAGTTTTGAGGGAAGTTGAGGGGGCTGGAGAACAAAAGTGTGAGGGAGACAGAGAATGTGTTTGTGAAAAAGCCAAGATGAGGTCCCTAAAGATTTGGATCCAAAGACATTTATTAAAAGTCAGTTAAATGTCCTACGGTGATATTTCTTTAACAATCTATGTTCATAATCAATTCTAAGCAACAGTACATGAAATAATTCAGTACAATCCTTTGTCTTAATTCCTTGGTTACTGTGAACACAAACAATATGTAGCCAAGAGAAATTCCAGAAGAAAAGGCCCATATTTCATCACTACTGCCAATTCCCTAAAAAAAAAAATCTCCATTTTTAAGTAATAATTGAACCAATGAATCTTCAACTGAGATCTTTAATGTGGCCCCTACTGTAATGTAGATTGTAGAATGCCCAGCTTTACACTGGGAAATCTGCTTCATACATAATTTATTAAAGGGTTACCATATGCTTTACATACATTACTACATTATTATTCTCCATTTTACAAGTGCAGAAATGGGATGGTTAAATAACTTTTTATCTGATCTTCCAAATCATCAACAACTATGTCACAAAGGTGTTGGTGTCCTAAGGCATTTGACTGCTAACCAAAAGGCTGACAGTTCAAACTCACCAGCCACTCCTCAAAAGGAAGACTGGGCAATCTACTTCCATAGAGATACAGCCTCAGAAACCTAAGGAGGGGTCGCTATGAGTCCGAAATGACTTGACAGCAATGAGGTTTATTTTTTTAAAAAATCTAATACCAGGGGCAATTCCACTCTTAAAAAGCTTGAAGAAAATCTGTAAAGATATTCAATATATGGTTGTATATATTGATACTTGTTATTTCTTGCCAACATTTCTCCCCCATCTCAGTTCTTGTATATTTTCCAATGTGTATAATTCAATGATTCTGAAATTGAGTAAAAAGTTGGTCATACAAATTTCATGAAGGCTTGTCAGCAAAATTTTTAAAATACGAATAACAGTAACATGAAACATAGATTTTCACAGAGCAACAATAATAGCAAAAGGCAGGGGATTCTGTTTTAAAACATTTCACAGATTTAAAATGATGACAGTTAGTATTAGAGATCTTGGGCTCTGTCCCTCAGAGGTGAATACAATGATTATGAGCATGCTTGGCTACAGTGTGAATTTTATCATTCTTACCTCACTCCAAGATTTTCAAGAAGAGACTCATCAAGAAAGGGCAGTAGCGAACCTGTGATTTTGTTTTCTATGAAAGAAAGGGAGAAAAAAAGATGAACAAATTTAATATTTATAATGTATGCCTTTTCAATTTCTTTCCATTTGATCCCCCAGAATTTGCCTGATCAGATCAATGTTTATTGAGTACTCACTACAGGCAATGGCGTGGCAACTCCTCCTTTTTTGCTTTGCTACTTATAAAGTCTCAATTTTAACTAGATAACTATACCAAAGAGGGGAGCTCTGGTAGCATAGTGGCTAAGGCACTTGACTGCTAACCAGAAGGCTGGAGGTTCAAACCCACCAGCCACTCCTAGTAAGGAAGGTTGGGCAATCTACTTCCATAGTGATGCTGCCTCGGAAACCCAAGGAGGGGTCGCTATGAGTCGGGGCCGACTCGACGGCAAATAACAACAACAACAACAACATACCAAAGAGACTTTTTTTGGATAAATTAGGTAAATATTTTAAAAATTATTTGTGTAAACTATTTGCAAGAATCTTCTGCTACAAAAATACAGTGAGGGGACACTGACTTTCTGTTAGTGGTGATGGAATTATTTGTTTAGGGATAGTGCTGATGGTACCATCTGATAAATATAATTAATGTCACTGAATTGTACATGTAAAAAATGTTGACCTGGCAAATGCTTTGTTATATATATATATATATATATATATATATATAACCACCTAAAACAAAACAAAAGACAGCTAAAAAAAAAAAAAAAAAAAAAAGGTTACTTGAAACCCTATAACCTGTGGAGTTTTGCCAGGTCAGCAGCTCAGCTTCCTTTTAAAACAGATGGGGGTAATATGGGTGGGGTAGGGAAGGAAACTTCAGACTACTGTTCTTAGAACAACTGTCAGGTCAAACCATAGCCTAAAGGTTACCCAAAGTATTGATTGTTTCTAAACTCTATGTGAAAAGCCAGGAATAGTTTGCATTTGAAAGACTTATTTTTTTTTCTTTTTCTTTCCATATAGTTAATTCTAGTCCTTCTGAACTTCAGATTCAAAACTCTGGACTGTTTACAACCAAAACTCTTAGCGGTAACAAGTAGTTCTTCGCAAACAAAAAAATTATTAAATGAAAATGGCTTGTTTTGTATTTTCTTATAAAAAATAATTGATATAAAAAAATTAAAATGATACAAAAAATATAAAGTATAAAATATTAACATCCTTAAATTCTCCCAACAGGTAACCACTATTAACATTTTGGATAACACCATTCAAGACATTTATCTATGCAATTATGTAATTTTATATAAATGAGAATACACTGTCTTATAACCTTGGCTACTAACCCCGCAGGAGGAAGATGAGGCAATCTACTTCCATGAAGATTTACAGTCTGGGAAACCCAATGGGAATTGCTATGAGTTGGAATCAACTCAGTGACAGTGAGTATAATCTTATCTTAACTACCTAGTACTGATACAAAAGAAATACCATAAATGGGTGGTTTTAACAAACAAATAGATTTTCTTACAATTTAGGAGGCTAGAAGTCCAAATCCAGGGTATGGGCTCTAGGAGAAGGCTTTCTTTCTCCATTGGCTCTGGAGAAAGGTCCCCATTTGCTTTGAGCTTCTTTCTGCTGCTGGGTGATCTTTTCTTTTTTTTTTTTTTTAACTTTTTATTGTGATTTGGGTGCAAAATTACAAAGCAGATTCATTTTACATTCAATAGTTCATATACATTTTGTTTCCTGACACTGATTACAATCCCCACAATGTAACAGCTCTCCTCCCACCTCTTCTCTGTGCTTACCCCTTCCCTATGTCCTTCATAACTGTGTGTTCCTGCCTGCCTAGCTATCTCCCTGTGCAAATGCTGCCCTTCTGATCTCCCAGGGTTTACTGTTCTGAGAAGTGCATCTCCCTGGTGCTCAAGCTAAGCTTGTTGGCCTATTGCTTGGCTGACAGTTGAGCTATAGGAGTGAGTTCAATTCCAGGCCCAAAGGGTGACTAGGGGCCACAGTCTTGAGGGTTTCACCATTTTCCATCTGAAAAGTTATCCTGTTTTATGTTTTTGAATTTTCACTTTTTTTTTTTGGTTTATCCAGGATCTCCAATTTTGATCACTTTCCAAATGGTTGGCTTGATACCCAGGTACTGTCTAGTTTTTTTTGGTCTCGGGGTAGTGGGGACTAAGGTTTCTGTGGTCTGTGGTCTCTTGGACTAATTGTTTCCATATGTCTTTGATTTTCTTCACTCTTCTTTGCTCCAGACGTGGAGAGACCGATAGTTGCATCTTAGATGGCTGCCTGCAAGCTTTTAAGACCTCAGTCATTACTCACCAAAGTAGAATGCAGAATAATGTTTTTGTGTATTATGTTATACCAATTAAGCTTGAGGCTCCGTTGACCTCAAGGAGCTTGCCTGTGACTAAGAAGTTATCTTAACTTTGCCTTCCGTTAGCTGTATAATGTATGTGGGCATTTTTACAGTACATACAAATACACATGTGGGAATAATGTCCGCCAAACCTATGTATAGTCATGAGCATATTCCGTTTGCCTACCCATACCTGATCTTCTTGCCTGTCTACCTATGTATCTACCCACACATTAGCGTTTGTTATTACCGATAGTATAGCACTGTGTATGTAATAGTATTAACCTTTGTTTGTACCTCTTGTGCACCTCTCTGTATCTTCCTTTGTCTTAGTGACCACAAAAGGTAGTCACACCCTTTTGTTATATGGTGTTGCTCCTGGGTGATCTTCAGGTGGCCCAGCATCTCTCCCTATCTCTGTTCAGCAATCTTATTCAATCTTTCTTTTCTTTTTAAATTTTTATTGTGATTTGGGCAAAAGTTTACAAAGCAAATTCACTTTCCATACGAGAGTTCATATACACTTTGTCTCATGACATTGACTGCAATTTGCCACAATGCAATAGCTCTCTTTCTACCTCCTCCCCATAGTTACCTCTTCCCTGTGTCCTTCCCTCCCATGTACTCCTGCCCCACCCCAGCTATCTCCCTGTGCATGCACAGCCCTTCTGTGCTCCCATGATTGATCTTTCCAAGGAATATATCTACCTAATATAAATGTTAACATAGTGCCTAAGGCACTTGACTACTAACCAGAAGGCTGGGGTTCAAACCCACCAGCTGCTCCTTGGAAGGAAGGTTGGGCAATCTACTTCCATAGTGATCAGGCCTCAGAAACCCAAGGAGGGGTTGCTATGAGTCAGGGCCAACTCGACAGCCCATAACAACAACAACAACAACATAAATGTTCAGTTCATACGCCTGTTTTTTGTTTGGCTGAAAGCCATACGAGTGGGTTCAGTTCCAGACTTGAGGGGCAGCTAGGGGCATAGTCTCAGTGGTTCCATCAGGCTCTATCAGACCAGCAAAACTGGTCCTTTTTTATTTTTTTGTATTTTTGAGTTTTGTTCTACATTGTTCTTCCACTCTATTCAGGATCTCCTATGTAGATCATCCTCTGAGTGCTTACAGTGGTAGCTGGGTACCATCTAGTTCTTCTAGCTGAGAATTGCACACTGTACCAGTCCCTTGTTCTAATTATTTCCACGTCTTTGGTTTTCTTCATTCTTCTTTGCTCCGGACAAGAAGAGGCCCATTGTTCCGTCTAGGTGGACACCTGCAAGCTTTTAAGATCCTAGTCTCTACTCACCAAAGTAGGATGCGGAACAATGTTTTTGTGTAGTATGTTATGCCAATTGAGCTTTATGTCCTCCATGACCATAGTCCCAAGCCCACAGGTCCAACTACTTGCTCCCCTTGGCTGTGGCCAAGGAGTGACTACAACCTTGTGCCTTGTCAGCTCTACTATATACCTGGACATGCTTGCAGAACATACAGATACACTTGTAGAAACGTATCCAATCTTTTTTATATCGCAAAAGAGATTGATTCAATCTCTTACACTTACTATATATAATATACCTTACACTAATCTGTGAACATTAACATAACAAAGATAACCCATTCTAAAATGGGATTATAACCACAGATATACAAGTTAGGATTTACAACATACATTTTTGGGGGACATAATTCAATCCATAACATAACCTGTTTTCTTCCACTCAGGATATCCTAAATATCTTTCTTACCAATTATTAAATGCTATATCATTTTTTAGGAGCTCTGGCAGCATAGTGCCTAAGGCACTTGACTGCTAACCAGAAGGCTGGTGGTTCAAATCCACCAGCCACTCCTCAGAGGAAGGTTGGGCAATCTACTTCCGTAGTGATACTGCCTCGGAAACCCAAGGAGGGGTTGCTATGAGTCGGGTCCGATTCAATGGCACATGACAAAAACAACATCATTTTTTTAATGCATTTTATTGAAATATAATTTATGTACAGTGAAATAAACAAAACTAAAGTGAAAAGGGTCAATGCTTTTTTTTTTTTTTTTGCAGTGTTCCCTCCCCTCCCCTCTCACCCCTGGCAACCAACAAAGCAAGTTTCCCTCCATATATAAACCTTTCCTTGACCCTCCACAACAATGAACTAGTACTATATTTGTCCTTCCGTGATTGACTTATTTCACGCAGCATAATGTCCTCCAAGTTCATGCATGTTATGCGGTGTTTTGCAGACTCTACATGATTCTTCAGTGCTGCATAGCACTCCATTATGTGTATGTACCATAGTTTGGTCATCCACTCTTCCATTGATGGGCATGTAGGTTGTTTCTATTTTTTTGCTATTGTAAATAGTGCTGCGATGAACATGAGTGTGCATTTATCTGTTCCTGTCCTGACTCTCACCTCTCTAGGACATATACCTAGTAATGGGATTGCTGAGTCAAACGTTGTCTCCAATTATAGCTTTCTAAGAAATCACCATATTGCTTTCCACAGTGATTGTATCATTTCACAGTCCCACCAGCAGCGTATGAGAGTCCTAATCTCTCCACATCCCCACCAGCATTTGTTATTTTCTGTCTCATTGAACCTTGCCATTAGTGCTGGGGTGAGATGGTATCACGTTGTTTTGATTTATATCTCTCTGATGGCCAGTGATTGTGAGCATCTCTTCATG